TTTTGTTCTAATTAAACTTAAAATACAATATATATATATATATATATATATATATATATTAAACTCGTTCAATAGGTGGACGACTTTACAGAGAGATGGGGATGAGTAGAGCAACCGCAACATTCAATGTATCTGTAGCAATTATCAAATTCGCCTGTTGGAGCACAGCCGTAGCCCTGCTGTACACAGAAGATGATGAAGTTCTCAGAGGCTACATTGCTGAGCTGCGCAGCGAAGAAGAATCGCTTTACAAATAAAAGCTATCCATATCATTGCCAACTTCACATATACGCACGCATAAATCTACGTTCACAAACATCACACACATAAGTGTAAGAACATATGCATATGCGTAAATATTTTAAAGTTTCCAGTACATCCAGTTTGTCTTAATTTATTGATAATCTCAAGAGAGAGAAATATAGTGGGCCTTCATCTAAATAAATCACTGATCAATATCAGACAAGAGAGGCTATGTTGCTGTGCTAATTTTTGTGTTTCTTGTTAAATAACGCCACTCTCCTCTTCCCCAAATTCAACACCTGACCCTTATATTTTAGTTCGCATGTCTCTGGGCCCCTGGGGTGAAACACATTCACATTTCTTTTGGCGCACAAAGAAGCAGTTCGGTACTATAGATCGCGAGCAGATAAGAGCCGATTACATTTCAAATCTCAAGGCATATTGACTTTATGACGTGTGAATATTAATGGTATATATAGGAGCCTATACGTATGTGCTACGAGACAACCGCAAAGCTTTATCGTATCGCGTGACAATGTCTCAGGACCCTGATTTGATTTTTGAACGCCATGAGCGACTAGGTCGTGGTTCGTTTGGCGAAGTATTCAAGGGGTATGTGATGTATTGGGTATTGGGGGTTATGTGATGTGAAAAAGATAGGGATATGGAATGTGTTAGGGGTGTGTGTTCTGTAAGTAAAGAGGGGGTTGGATGATTTGTAAGTGAAATGATAGAGGAAATCGGATTTTATATAGAGAGTAAAAGGTAGCTTATATGTAAACGGGCACGAGCTGGCTTGAGTAGCAAACGGGATTGACACCATATATATATATTTATATATCTGATTTGTATAAACATGTACTTATATCCTTATGCCTTGTAGAGCGTTTGTGCCAACCTACCTGCAAAAAGATGGTTCGATACCCAAGGGGACGGCTTGGTATACAAACAAGAAGAATATAAATGTATCGGATCGAGAGATTAGAATCTAAAGCACTGCAGCGACTGAGACTAACCCCACCTTGTGCACACAATATATTCATTCTTTGATCTACAAGCACTTGTTAACCACAAATAATTGTTGTCTTACAATGCAGGATTGACACTCGCACGCAGAAAGTTGTAGCTATCAAAATCATTGACTTGGAGGAGGCTGAGGACGACATCGAGGACATTCAGCAGGAAATCCGACTACTGTCGGAATGTGATTCGCAGCACATAGTAAAGTATGTACGTCTCATCATCGCGCGAGTCTACTTTGAGTTTCTAAATACTTCACAAACACGAATAGGTTTCGATATCATTATTTTAGCCTCTGATTGTGTAGCCTCGTTCTGTACTACAGATACTTTGGATCCTATGTCAAAGGTACCCAACTCTGGATTGTCATGGAGTTTCTTGGAGGGGGTTCTGCTTCTGATCTGGTATGCACAGCAATGCGCGTAAAGAGCTCTCATGGTGGCGTGAAGCGAGCGATTTGTATACATATTTGAAGCATATTTCACACCAAATTGTGACTGTATATGTACTTGTAC